GGCGAGCGGGAAGCGTCCCATCCAGCAGTCGACTGACAAAGAGCTGATTATTATAACAAGTTTGCTGCTTCGGTGAACTTATAGATATGAAATCAACATATTAATTTAAAATAATAAGATATCCTTTAATACTGTTACTGAGAGGAAAGGAAGAGCTCAATGTGTTTGGCACGCTGGACTTCGCAAGGAAATATCGGACTAGTGTTGATGTGACAACGACCACGTTGAACAGGCTGCATCCCTTGTAATGCACATTGTTTCATCATGTATATTTTTGCCTATCCAGATGGAGTACTATTTTTTTTTTAAACACACATTGGCCATGCAATATTATTTTCGTATTGTATAGTACGCTGCTTCATGTACAGTATTATAAAAGACACGATTAATACTATACAGTGTTATTTTGAGAGCTACAAAACGTTTTACTAACTGTAGATTTGGAGGCATGCGCAATGCTTTGCTGAATGGTGACGAATCTATTGTTATAATGTGCAGATTTAACCTTTTAATCTCTTTGTATGGGGCACACTTTCTGATTGAGTAATGAAATAATTGACAGATCCGTGCTAAATTTAAGAGAGGTGGACTGACATTGCTTACTCTGCTTCCACATACTACCATGAAAATGTAAGTGAAGGGAATTAAAACATGCATTGGCAGTCCAGTACGTATATACCTTGGTCTAGACGCAAAGTAGGAGGTCTTGTAGTTATTGTGTTTACATCAGACTTGTTTGTTTTACTATTACAGGATGTGTAAAGCCTTCGCTGAGAATTGGCTGTAGGTTATTTACTGAGCATGGATAATCGTCATCATCTGTCCACTGTAGTCATTGTTTTTTTTCGGTAAAGTCACGTAGGTAGAAGTAAAATAAAATAAATCATGACGCTTCGAACGCAACACAAGCGCCCGTCTGTGTTGCGTTCGAAACGTCGTGATTTATTTGATTTTATTTTCTACCCACGTGACTTTACCGAAAGAACCAAAGAGTATGGATTCCTGCAGTCACGAAAGCTTCAAATCAAGATTGTCCACTGTAGGTTGCACGTTTTCCCGTGCACAGACAACTTCACATGGTATTATGTAGGTGAAATCTATTGTACAATTCCTATTTGTCATGTGATTCCATGTAGTCATTGATTTGTGTCTCTTTGCCTTCCATTACAAGTTTTGTCCATTTGAATGCTATTCCTTCCAGAAACATAGTCTGTTATAGTCCACGGTAATTGAACGACACTGCAAATATATTAGTAACGTTGTTGAAACCAATAAACCACCTCGGTGTAAATATTTTTTGTTGTAGCATGTGAGCTGTACGTGCGTAACTTACACAGTGCAATATTACGTTGTTTATATGAATACACAACACACTCGTTGATGTGCCCCAGCTGTGATATTTAAAGGTTTATCATTTACGCTTCCTTTTTGCTGTAAACACTGGCCGCGCTGTACCCGACCAGGTGTTTATGCCCCATGATGCCTTGTAAGGATATGCTCTTTGTTGCAAACAAACCCTTGAAGATACTACTCTTGAACAAATCACTTTATGATGTTTGTGGGAGCCTAAAAATAGTTTACTTGTGGTATCCGCTAAAGGAAATATTTAAGTTGCATGGCCTTGAATTGCAGCCTCGAGGCCATTGTCTCATGTGTAGGCCTGTTTATACAAATTCCGCCACATTTATTAGCAATGTAGGGACATGAACATATTGTTACAAATATAGACCACATGGCAGCTTTAATTAATCACCAGCAGCTCTATGCAGGAGCTCGAAAAACATGTTTTAACTCGCAAAGAGAGGCCCTTTCCGCGTGTAGAGTCTAATGTTATTTTATATATACGTATATATGCTAATTTGGAGCCTCAAGGCCACACGGAAGGGGAGTGTGATGACGGATATGTCCTGTGAGGTCACTGAGATATACAGACAGACATGTTCACTATTCATCCCTAAGCTTTCCCGTGACATAGTGCACGCTTGTGCTTAAATAAATATGCAGTGGGTTTTACGACCGTCTTCCGTTCGTTTTACACACTCTACTTATGCACTTGACATTGTTTGGTAACAACGAAAGCATACAACACAAATACCTTTTCATTATATGCCTGTTGCTCCTAATGCAGACTTCAGAAATTCTCGCTCAGTCCAGCTTTCCATTGCAGCCATTCATATCTAATTAGAGACAAATCAGTGGAGATGCAATACCCAATCCTCTCGACGGTCAGACATGGAAAGTTGGAATGGTTATGAGTCTCTGAGGAATGGGCTTGAGAATCACTGGGATAAAGTTGAGTTTTTGGAAAAGTTTCCAGTTACAGTTCTGTGCTGTTTTGATTTCCGTGGACTTGGAAAAGAACAGTGACCATTGTCTATTCGAATGCTATATATATGTGTTTTTGTAGCTGCCAATATTTAATAGTTATCACTGATACCATCCTGGATAGAATATATTTCCCAAAGACAGGAAAGACAAAATAGCATCAAAGATTTTTATTTTTTTATTTGCCCATATGGAAAATAATGGTCTCATCATGGCAAAAAATGTCGTGTGAGATTTAAAATGTGTGAATCGGACCATTTAAAGAATGTGTGTCTACAAGGAAAGTATCCTTCACTACCAGATACTCAACACTTTAGCAATCATGGGTTGTATAACCTTGTGCAGGCGTGATGCCTGATAATGGTCTGCTGTTGCATGTAGGAGTTGTATGACACGATTAAGCTGTTCATATTACAGCTGCAGAACAATAAACTCTTGCATTTGACATGATATAACGCTTTCATCTACTTTCATTCAACATTTAGCAAAGCACTATGCAGTATCAAGAATATAATAACTTGTAAAAACCAAACACGTAACCGCCATATATAACAAAAATGTAAGTCAAACAGTAAGATTGATATTTGTGACTATGGATAATTAGTCTTCTTTATTTTAAATGTTTGTTTTACTTTGACATTCATTGAATTTCAGTTCATTAAAATAATTGTAAAAGTACATACTGTATGTGTACACGGATGTTCCTGTGCGTTCTATGAAATAAAATGCCTTTTGTTTTCAGATGTTGGCTTCTCCCTTCGCCTTCTCTGCCAAACCTTTCATCTGAAGCAAACCATATGCCACAATGGTTTCAAAGCAACTTCTAAAATCTGCATTTCTTTACATGCATTTTTCTGGCATATTGAAACCTGGAGAAGATTTAAAACTTGGAAACGAATTTTCTAAATCCGTAACAAATCACTTTGTATTGTTGGGAGCACATTACATGATAAAAAAAAATGGTGAAAGGCATAATAAAGCAGCTTTTATTTATCTATGTGCATCGTGTAGCCTTCGTCCCTCTCGCCTCATGAAATAGACAATAACCTATGACCCGTAGCCTTGTGATGGCTCTTACACGGTTTTAAGATTTGTTACCGAAATTATGTTTTAAGTAAATTTGGCAGCACGATAAAGTCTGATACAAGTTCATGGAGGGTTATGGGTGTGGTATATTCTGAATGGTAAAAATGGTAAATTCCCTCATTAATGTATTAAATTATGTCTGTGTTAAAGTATGAACGTATTCAATATCTCATGTTATGAGTAGAACAAAGGGTAAAAGTGCAGTCCTGTAAATGATAGCTCAAATCACTGCAAGCAGAAGACCCTCGATATGAGCTCAAGAGAGCTCCGCTGGAGGGTGTTTGGTCTACTCTTCCACACTGGCCATACATTTTGGAAGTGAGAGGACCCCGGCTTTACCCCACCACCTCTGGGAGGATTTAAGAACATTTCTCAACTGTCTCAACTTACATGTCGAGGGAACAAACCGGTGTGCTCTGGATCGAAAGTTCAATCTCTGCTAACGATGTCCACCATTGGCAGCATCCATTGTGATCAGTATAGGAACACTATATACATTTCAAAGAGAAGTAGTGTATTTGCATTCACCCATGCTGGATTATGCGGTTGTGCTGCGTGCCTGCCTCAGGGGCAGTCCATTACTGTTTACCCAGGCTCCACCACCCCCTAGATACAAATCTTCGTGAAATAAACCCTCACATCCTGTTATTTTGTGTTACAGACCAATATGGCCCATAAGCTAAACTCATGGCCCCATATAAACTAAAGGGTAATGTGAGGTTAACAAAATACAAAGGCCCTCATTTATCCACCTGCAAACCAAATCACCTTGACTTATATAAACTAATTAACAAGTCTTTTTCTCAGTGGACTTGGGGTAAAGTGAAATTATTATCATCATCATACCACCACCATTGCCATCACTGCAACCACCAATGTATGCTGGCATCTCTTGTTTAAACTCAGTTGTCCTCAAAACACCTATAAATGATGCACATACATGCACATGAGTACATCAAACACTGCACTGTATTTTATACTTATATGTAGACGCTAACGACGGACCTTAAAACATTAACTACGAATGACTAAACATTAAATATAAACTTTTTGCATCCTTGTTTTTGGAAATGAATAGCCATGAAAAGGTAAAATAACCACGTTAATATATTCATAATCCTTAACAAGGAATAAAGTGTATGAATGTTTGGCACTGTTCCAGTGTGGAGGGAGGGAATCCATGAAAACCCCAACATAGTTTCTGTGATCACTTCAGAAGTTTGTGAGATTAATACCCCATGTAATACTAGCTGCTGCACACATTCCTCGACAGGATTCATATCGGAAGCCATAAATTAGTCGTGACTGTTCATGAAGCCTGTTGTTTCACAAACCTGACTAATTATGGAAAGCAATATTAAGGGGGGTGGTATGGTCTAGTTTTTCTTGCTTCAACAAAAAAATACTGGCGTACAATAGGAGTTTATATGCGTGGACACAATGCATCATGAGTTTATGTACGGTATTGCCTTTCACAATGAAAAAGGCGTCATAGTTTCTATGGAGCGCTCTTACCAGTAACATCTCGTAGCCCAGCAGATGCATTTGCTTAAAAAGCTTGCTTGTTCACTCAGTACCTTTCGTTGCAGGTGGTTTTGCGAGGGGAAGGAGTTGGGGAATTCTCCAGACATCCAGATCTTGCAGAACGCTGATCTACAGACACTCATAATCAGCGAGGCCTTCCAAGAGGACACGGGGCGCTACACCTGCTTGGCCTCCAACGTGGACGGCACCGACAGCACATCTGCAGAGATCTACATTGAGGGTGGGATGGGCTGCACCTACACTTGGATCTGAGACTGTGTTTTTGCTACCCTGTTTTTGCTACTCAATTACAATTAATACCAACTCAAACGTGCCTCACATCTAGTGCCTTTGAGAGCTAATTTCTACGCATCAAAACACGGGGCCTGATTGGGAGACGTGTTTCCCCCGCATGAGCTATGAGGCAGAATATTGGCAGGCAACGTACAACCTCTTGGGTTAGGTACAGCCATGTCAGAAAAATGAGCGTGTTGTCCCAAATATTGCATCACGTGGATGTTTTGTGTCTTTATCAGATAACGCAGCACATTGGCACAATCTGTTCAATAACAGGGGCGTGCTTTGCACATGCATCAGATAAATGTGCACGTTGGAGGGAGGCATTTAAGCAATGGGGTGGTGTGCTGTGCTTGTCTCAGATAACTCGGCCAGTTATATTGCTTATAATGCATCGATTTATTATAGGCATCCAAATTAGTTCTACTGTTTAATGCGATGCTCACTGTTTACTTATCCATTTTTGTTTTTCCATATTAACATTGCAGCCTGCACGCGGCCCACTGTGATATGTGAGAAATCACGACTAATGCCATCAACCTGGTTACCAAACATTGATCAATCATCTCTTGGTCTCCAGGGCAGCATCTCAAGCCACCATAAGTTAACCAAATGCAATGTAAGATTGGGAGCCAACATAACTCCTGTATGTATTTAATATCTCTAAACACATACTTGTAAATAATACCATAGCATTACCTCCACGGGTGCTGGTGGTAGTAATGTAAAATGTGCGAGCGAAATCAGGTGCTGCTTATACCGGTTTGTATCTGTTCCTCCAGTTAAGGGCACAATGCCTTTTCACCAACTCTTGTGGGCCTATAGATATTATGTTGTGGCTACTTTATCAAATACATTATTTTTACAAATAAAACCCTTACTATGGTCGTTACCTTGACTAAGTCTTACCATGTATGGATGTTTAACTGTGAATCCATGATTTGATCTTGACATGAATTGCAGTGCAATTAACAATGCGCTTTAAATCACTAAAGCATGACAGAAGTTTTAAATTATATTACAGTGGATGTGACTCACAAGTGCACACATCCACTCATGTGTTCTTATTAGATATCAACTGTGTATGCTATTTTTATTTTGTTGCAATTGCCCTTGTGGCTTTCGCTGAATGCAAAGCCGTAATTCCTCAGTATATATGTGTAAATTTGAATTTATAGAGTCGTCTCTTTGGATAAGTGATGCAAAAAATAGTATAACCTTCATGTCCTTGCTCAGAACTCCCTGGAGTCCTACCATTGCTGCTTCTCTTCATAATGACTACAGCATGAGGCGCACATTATAATTACAAAACAATCACATTACAAGCAAATAGATGATTATTAAATTATAAAACTTAGCAAAGTGAATATCGCATTATTGCTTTGGTTAACTAATTGCATAGAAAGCGAGAGGGAAACAAATGCTGCTGTATCATCCAGTGTGGATGGTGTGTTATTGTATATTCACTAATGAGGAGAGATAAAACAAACATCCCTTACTGTTTTTGAAATTCAAATATGCATCTTTGGGCTACTGCCCGGTCTGTATTATATCTACGTGCATGGAAAACATACAAACAAACAAATGGGAAATCTGTGTAATGTAATGAAAAGACCAAAATTTTAAGTATTCATACGAAACTTTAAATAAAACAATTCCTGTCTTTGGGCATGAATAATTCATATATCGTTTTATGGATAGCCACAACAATAATAAATGTGTTTACTTAAAGGCGGGTTAATTACGCATCTGCGGTAGATATGAATATGGTTATTGGGTTTGTTTTGATGGTTTTAGAAACTTAGACTAATCCACGTCTTTGTTGCAGGTGCCACATCCTCAGATTCAGAAGGGGAGGCAAGTGGAGCTTCCCTGGAAGATGATTTGGCTCAGTAAGCAAAGCAATTTCCATCCCTGCATTTTCCCATGCACCTGATTGTCCGCACATTCATCCATCAAATCATCTCTCCATCGATAAACAAAAATATATATTTACACACACGTATATACACAGCCTTCTAACATACAGGAAAATGTAGAGAAGGATGGGTGACTCAAGGGTCAAGGCACTGATTTGGAAACACTGAAGTCCTGGGTTCAAGGGAAAGCAGTCATGTGAAATGAGTTCCCCTCTCATGTGGATAAATATGTATATTGAAATGACTTCGGAAGTAGTTTTGTGATGTCCTCTTCCATGGCTAACGGACAGCAGATCATTGGAAGGTTATGATTTTTGAATGGCAAATTTCAAGACAGAAACAGGAGGATTTCTCCACAACTCTGGCTCTCGCCTGATGATGCTGGTAGTAATTACGCCGTACTTGAATTGTATATGTTGTGGATTTACTCTCCAACACACCCGTGTGCTAAATAAACTAGTAACGAATTGGCATGTTTTGTTTATGTGACAAACCTTACTAATTGGCTGCGCCGGGTGGTGGCGGGTTTAACGACACATTTATATTAATGCGATCTAACCCAAAAACCTCTCATAGATAAATGTTGGTCGCGAAAGCCTACGTGTTAAATTGCTTGGAAATATTTTCTTCTCATAACATGAATCACCATAGCACAACCGGAATATAATTAATGGAATTAGAAGATTAATGGTGCAGGGGATATTCTGATGGCTAAATTGCAGGATTAACTGTGAACTTATATTTACAAACACCCGCTCATACATTCATTATTTGTTTATAACACAATGCACGTTTGACTAATGCGTGTCAGTATAAAGTATTGCACAATTCTCGACAGTAAGTTAAATGTGGTTTTATGAGTGAGTGTGATGGAACAGAAAACGCAGCCAGCATATTATCCAAGTTATTACCCTCCTTGTACGTGCAATATGTGTACATCACACAAAGTCATATACATATATGTATACATTCATGAGAGGGAGATCGTTAAACTGTGGAGCTGTGAGTGTGTGCGCATAAGAGTAATGTTAACCCTAGGGCTTAGACCAGTGGTTCTTTACCTGGGCTGCGTGCACCCCCTTGGGGTGCAAGATGCCCTTTCTGGGGTGCGAGACGCGTCAGAATTATTTAGAAGGTAAATCGTCGAAACACAGGGCTGCAGTAAAGATTAAGAACCACTGCCCTAGACAGTAGAGAGGAGGTGGGTTACGTAAAATCAACAGAGACGGAATCCACACATTGCGGATGGCTGAGCGCAGGGAGTTCCATATGCTGGAAGCAGCAATGGAATTGACCGACCACCCACAGAGTGGATATTTAAGCAGGATTTGGAATGAATATTTTTTCTAAGTATATATTACAGCTAGACAGCCCTGTGGTTGATGTATTCACTACTGAGCTAGGCTGCAGTCAACGGTTGTTATTCCGACAACCACTTGGTAATTCCTGTGGGTGATTGTCTAAACTCCCAGCTTGCTATAAAGTGGGCATCAGAGGCTCCGAGACATAATTCATAGCATTCTCCAAATAAGTACATTATAAAATATGGCATTTTGTAATTGCTTGTAATATCTAATTGTTGTCCTTTGTCCACATTTGAATAAGCGATAATGTCCCTTGCTTGAGGAGCATTGAGTAGAAATAATTATGCATAAAAAGCACATTTTTAACATGAGGCCTCCATTTAAAGCAGTTTTCATAAATTTCCCAGATGCTCAAGTTTAATGAGACCACAGCAGCTTTATGCATTGCCTTCGATATGCACTTTAATTTATTCACACATTTTTCATGTTTATTTCTGGATGGCTTTTACAACATAACTTAACTCGGGAGCACCAGCTTGTTGTTTGCTCGAGGCTCACTGAGAATGGCATGTAAAATATTAGATTAATAAACTGAGAGAATTATAGTTGTCTAATATCTTGAAATGGACACTGTATCAGCATGAAACATACATTTCCTTGAACTGTAATTGTTATGGCAGTATATGTAAAGTGGAGCTGTCATGGAACGGTGACTTACAATTCGGATATATTTTGTTCTGTTTCAGTTCCAGTCAGGATGGATGAACCTTGGGCAATATACTTGATTTGTGTTTTCTTGTCAACCTCCACCGTCAGCACTGTGGGTGTGTGGAGCGAGGTGCAATGCTTTGATTGGTGTAGACCTACTGGCGGTGTCGAAGCCCTCTCCGACATTAACATTAGCTGCCCCGCCCATCTCTAAACCTTTATAAACAGCTCTTTAATCGGTGTAGACCTACTGCCGGTGTAGGAGGTTTCTCCTACATTGACATTAGCTGCCCCGCCCATCTCTAAACCTTTATAAACAACTTGCCCTCAGAGGCTAACCTCCCTGTTCCTGATGACGACCGCTTGTGTTGCGATCGAAACATCGTGATATTTTTCTTAACTTAAGTTTTATTATTTTATTGTTATTATTTTTTTCTATCTACGTGACTTTACCGAAAGAACCATAGAATATATTCAGCGTTTAGAGTTTAGTTCACCGCATTAAGGGAATGTCACGGGGGGTTACGTAATGCACCGATAACTCCACTTTTTTCTATTTTGAGGTCAAATATTTATCTGGCGCGCAACGACTCCCTCTCGCAGTTTTTTTTTGCGTGAATAGGTTAAATGATTTATCTTTACACATACACACACATGGGAAGACAAACACAAAGAATATCTAGCTTAGGCTGTACGATGTAAATATGAGATTATGACTGAAACTCTGGTAACATTGACAATTTGGAAGCACATCTACAAACCGAAATCTGTTGGGTTTTAAATAAATCCACGATGCTCTGTGGAAATGGCCTCCACCCAGCGACAAGCGAGTAGTGTATTCTCATACACGGAGGTTTTCTAAACAAATACAGCTGACAGCCAGACAAAGCCACCGGATTTATTTACAGCATTTGTCAAGGAGCACTTGTTTGCAAGAGTTTTCTATCCATTCATAGAGAATAGCGGTTTGATCTGTGCAGCAATCTAACACCCAGTCACGTGATTATCATCAAATATTTCTTTCACTTTGCTCACAGGGCCGATCTGTGGAGATCCAAACTCTTGGGTTGAGCAAACCTACAGTTTTTCCAGGTTTTTCTTTTTACACATTATGTACATCAGTCTAGCCAGTGGCATTAACGTAAATGGAATGCATCGTTTACTGCTCTTGTTCCCATTGGTTATGTGTAATAAAAGCTAAACAAAGTGTTGGTCGAGCTATGTGTGAGATATGTGTCTCCACGTATAATTACAGAATGTATTCTGGTACAGGGGCCTATTGGCTTTATAGACCAATTTTATCCAACAGAATTAGTTTCAGAAAGCAAACTCTGGACCAGTTTCGACAATGTGTCTCATCATAAGTCAACCTTTATTATGAATAAGTCAGCCTTGTTCAAGAAATGCTGCTGAGAACTCCATCTAAACCATGTTCAACGTTTTCCACGGTTGGCTACTTACGGTGCGAAATAATTTGAACATACATACAATCTTTGTTTTTTTCGGTAAAGTCACGTAGAAATACGTGACTTTACCGAAAAAAAACAAAGAGTAATTCCTGCAGTCACGAAAGCACCAAATCGAGTCTCATACATACAGATCATGGGTGTGGCTCAAATGAATGTAAACTCTACACAGCTATTTCATATTCTTAGCTCTTTCGGTAAAGTCACGTTGAAGGGAAACAATAAAATAATAAAAAATATATAAAACAATAAAAATTATCACGACGTTTCGACCATAACACAAACGGTCGTCATCAAAATCTACACAGCTAATGCAGGTAGAGAAAGGGCATGACCTTATTGCAGGTGTGGATATTTTTGGTTGTGTTAAGCTCAAGGTGAAGTGAATTGATAGTGTATTATCGTGCTTACAACAGCTATTGTCCCCGGCGGTTGACCAACCCATTATTTATTGATGCTGCTTTTCTGCTCCCAACAATGCCCAATTCAAAAATTCACAGCGCGTGCCATCTGGTGCATTTTCCTAGCGGCTACGGACTAAACATCACCATTGTTCACCTCGTGTCCTCTAATCCTCTAATGGGTGTTGGCGGTTCGCTTCCATTGCAGAGCTCAGAAATTGATGTCGGTGTCCCTGACTATAGCTGCATCCCCGCAAAACAGTGGCACGACCCAGGTGGAGATGCAGGCGCAGCCTCCGTTGGCACAACCCATTACTGCTCCGGTGATCCCACAGGTACCGATTTCAATACATTGCAGGGCTTTCTTATTTCATTTACGTGTCGTTCAGTACAAATTGTGTTATTCAATCCCATCATTGAGTGTAACAGTTGCTTCATCGTGTCCTCGTTTTCATATTATTATTATTGAACATAATCAAAAGTATTTGTATGTACCCAACAGAAAGTGGCCAGCCCAAGTTTTGGGTTACCAGGCTTTGATGGTCAATCAGGAGTAATGGCTGCACCCGTTTTTACGAAGGTAAGTCGGTTTCTATTTGTGACAGCCAATTTATGCTTGTCTGGATGAGCATATAGCTAGGTTTGTAAAAAGCAATGTCTCTCCCCTTATTGGCATAGATGTGCTACATTTTACTCTTTTAGCCAACCAAGGTGAGGTTTAAGTAAACGCATGTGGTTTATTTACAAGTCAATACTTGAAGCAGTGTGATGGATACTCATAAAGGAAACAGTGTCAGATAGACACCCATGATTATCTTGTTTTACTATGTCAAATTATCACTGCCATTTCTATTATGCATCCTGGAAATAACTTTGGGTGTGCAGTTTGGGAGTTTTTTTAAAAATATGATCCCATGGCTTCTATCATTCTGAAATTCCATCATAATTGTTCAGTTGGTCCGAACCTATTTTATGTTATTATTGTATTTACCAGGTAAAGCCCACTGAGCTATTAGCTGTTTTTCAGAGGTGACCTTGCCACACATCGAAGGGGTTTATCATATGGGGTTTATCACCTAAACGCAAATTTAGATTATTTGTGGAGGGCAAACCTGGAGGACCTGGACAAATATCCACACAACCACGGGAGGATAATTAATGGAAAGTCCAAATATACAGGCATCGTCAGTTTCGGGATCAAACTCATGGCCTTCTGCGTACCAGACAAAGGAGATAACATCTATTTGCCCCCAAAGCACAATTTGGATTAGATTTTTTTTATTGTAATTTATGTAATAGTTGCAATTATCATGTCTTTGTATTGCATGTAAGCACCAAGTTTCATGTGTTAAGTCATGCATCCATCATATTGTCATATATGCCTATTTTAAAACGTCTGACATGTAACATGTAGATGTTAAGTTGTCCTTAAAATAGTTTGTATTGAGTTTTCATTCCGTTTTAGTGCAGGATATTGAAGAGGGAGTGAAAACGTTCAAAAATATTTAGCATATGAATACCGTACACCAACGAGTAATATGACTGGAATTTCACAGCGCAGGAGAAGACCACTCTGAATACTTGCTACCCACTAGGCTGAGACCGATACAAGTTGCTTGAGTAAATACTGTACAGTATTACAACATGTTTGATATCGCATTGCACATGGTACATAGATATCGAGGAGCATCTTCATGTCACGTGGTATGAGGAACAAACGTCATCGTATTCTTGGTTATTTTGGTAAAGTCACGTAGAAGGGAAACAATAAAATAATAAAAATATAAAACAATACAATTCTCACGATGTTTCGACTGCAACACAAGTAATCATCATCAGGTGTGAAAACCACAACAAGAAAATTAAAAAAAAGTGGCGGTTTTTCAAATTTTCTTGTTGTGGTTTTCACACCTGATGATGATTGCTTGTGTTGCAGTCAAAACGTCGTGATAATTGTATTGTTTAATATTTTTATTATTTTATTGTTTCCCTTCTACGTGACTTTACCGAAAGAACCAAGAATATGAATCCCTGCAGTCACGAAAGCTTTAAATCAAAATTTAAATGTTATCGTTTTAATCTAAATAGAACCTTTCCATTTGTGAATCACAATATGTAAGTTATAACATGAGATTAATACACTTTCGTCATCTAAAGGCAACCAGCCCTGAAATTGCTTACTCGCACCACTGCTGGTAGATGGGGCTCCGCTTTGGGAGGTATTTTGGCCGAGTCTAACATGCTGGCCACACCTGTGACCTACCAATTGAATGGCTGTGGTAAACTCATTTACAGTATACTGCAAGGGGGACTCAATAAATGCCACGGCATGAGATCGATTCGGACCAGCAGGTCTAGTGAGCTAACCATTGCACCATGGCAAGAATGTGAATGTAAAACCACACAAACCCTATTCGGCACCCATGTAGCTTTTGACATGTGCATGTGTAGGTGCAGTGTGTGTGTGTCCAGGTATCCAGTATGCAATCACCGTCCTGCAAGTGAGGTGTCCATTGTAAGCGGCAGAATGTTCAACCAAGCGGTTGTGATACACTCAAAGTGTGTGCATCACCAATATAAAATAGCATCTCTAAATACCGGACATCGATAATTATGGGTCATTGCACACATGTGTTTGCACAATATACAGTACTTATGTTACTTAATACATTCAAAGGCTATTTACAAAGTCATCTAGAAATAACTCTATGTCTTATTACTCTAGGAAGAGGCTTTATTGTTCGTGAAATCCCTGTAACTCTGATAAGATATCTTTGACCTCTGCATAACCTCTATTGCACACACACTTCTGTTACCACGTATATAGTAGTTTCATTCATTATACAGTCAAACATTTACTGCTGCAAGCATTAATTATCACAAACATTGAAATGCCAAATATGTTGCAATAAATATCCCTTTTCACTCAATACACTTTCTTTCTTGGTAATTGTAGATACGTAGAACTAAATAAAATGGATTATACATTGATTCACTCCGGTCATGTAGACCTTACTGAAATGCTTGCTCTAGAATATGAAATTGAATACCACCATTAACCTTGCTCAAAAGTGCCGCTAATGCAATGCCACAAATGTCACTGAGTGTTAGATTGCTGCACAGATCAAATTCAGCATGTGATGGGCTGGTGGCACGGGCAACACGGCCACCTATTCAGCGAGACCGGGGACTCTGCATCCCGTGCGTAAAACATTCTGATTAAATTCAGCATGTGATGGGCTGGTGGCACGGGCAACACGGCCACCTATTCAGCGAGACCGGGGACTCTGCATCCCGTGCGTAAACATTCTGATTAAGCCGCAGCTTCAGATTCGCTTTCCTTGCGGTAGGTAAACAACTCTGGGCGAACACACTGCAATAATTGTTGCATCATGCTGAAACATCTGTGTTTGTTTCCCTGGCTTCATGTATATGCAGTTGTGTCTATTATTATTATTATAACAACTTAACATGCATACACAGTGGAAAATGTTATTCTTACTTTTTTTCTTTGCAAGATGACCATTATCTGTAAATGTACAGTCAAATGCAAACATTTTGTAAATCCACTGCTGGATCAGGTCCTCCCGACTCCTTGCAGGCTTTGGGTGTTATTTGACTGTACTTCATCATGCTGGTCAGTGCAGGTTTATCAAGTTGGGGAGTCTAGACATGTACTGTAAGCATAAAAGTAAAGTACAACAATGCCTGTTTTCTGCCCTGCTGTCTGCGAGGCACCGCATAGCGCCTATCGCAACATGTTTGTACGAGAGTCAATCACCGAGATTTGACAAATTCAGGTGCATTGTGGGTGTTTTGGCCATAGGTATACACAGAGGACATTGATTGCAAATTCCAATTGCACTTATCAATATCACTCACCAGTCTATTAATGTGACACATTTTTGAGTGCTCATATTTTATTATTATTATAGCTTGTCAATTATAATTACATATAGAATGCTGGCCTTTATGCAAATATGATTTTAAACAGAGGTTAATTGTAGCTGTGCAATGCTCATTTGCATTTTGTGCCTGTGCCGGCAGTGATTATTTTCGTGGATTTGGATATTTCTCAAGTCAAGTCGATTTTTTTTTAGCTTCAACACGTGGCGCATTTCTCGCACAAATCTGCCACTCAAAAGCACCTTATGGTCATTTTCTACCATACACCAACCCTTGCTTCATTTTATCTCGTGCAGATTTGGACTGTCAGTTTGCCCCTTGTAAATTCAATCTTTCGTGCCTCATTGTCACAAGCTGTGGACCGCTGTTATCTGAGATGGGGTCATGTCAGCATTGTAGTCCTATTTGAGTAGGCATGGTGCGATTCATTTGACGGGCGGTGTGAATGCGGATACAAATAGGAAGCATACTCCATCAAGAACTTAGCAGGCCCTTTCTAAATAGTTCCAAACGAGCTACACCATGTGGAATGTGACAGAAATAAATCAAACATTAGCGACACCGAAATTGCAAATAGTGTTGCATGACTATGCAGAACAGTTCTGAATATTGGAGACAATTGAGCGTAGGGGGCCGTCCATAAATGACGTCACGCGATTTTGGACGATTTTTGACCCCCCCCCCGCCTCGTCACGGCGTCACAAAAAGTCAGACCCCCCCCCTCAAATATAACGTCACAAAGCTCTGCCCCCCCCCCCCAAATAAAATTCTAATCGATTTAAAGCTTTCGTGACTGCAGGGATTCATATTCTTGGTTCTTTCGGTAAAGTCGTGAGAATGTAATTGTTTTATATTTTTTTATGATTTTATTGTTTCCCTTCTACGTGACTTTACCGAAAGAACCAAGAATATGTATCCTTCAAATCGCTTTAAACTATTGTCATTGTAGTGCGTATTTAATGTGGCGCTGCACTCTAATGTTGTAGGAGAAAAGATTTATAAAAAATATATTTAATTAAGTAGAATGTGTTGTCTATATTTATTTAAAGTTCGTCACAAATGTCTGACCTCCCCCCCCCCAGGTGCGTGACGTCATTTATGGACGGCCCCTAGGATGTAATTTTTTGCTTTAATGTCATCGCCACTTTGGCTGGAGAAACAAAGACAGACAGGTTATGGTGCAGGTCGAGCAACCTACTCGAAGTTAATGCCAGCAAATGCGAGTGATTGCATCATTCTCACCAAAATGCTTGCAAGTATAAAGCAGCACAATACCCTGGCGTGTTCACGTCCTCTAATTTTATGATATTGTTGAGCAGAGTAAGTTAAGGGATAATTTAGTGCATCTTATTAATGTGGTGCTTTCTACGTACATTCATTTATGTAATGAATTATCCCCTGTTATGTGTAAGTCATTAAAAGTGCACTGTGAACAAGTTTATCCTGCCTAAGAAAAGAGGTATGAAATACTCACAGGCATGGTTATGTATTGCTCAAAGCTGCTGTCTTGGATGGACAAACTAAGTTTCCATCTCCTTTATGAACAAAATAAAAAAATGCATGTGAATTGGACGCATGGGAAATTATTAGACTGTTCCAACATTCAGAGCGCTTCCTTTTATCTCCGTATTATAAAATAGCAGGTTTGCTCACGGTAATTAAAATTAAGACACC